TTTACTACTCAGAGATTAGATAATTATCAAGTAAATACTGGAGCATCTTCTAATCAAATGAGGAAACTTGCAAATTTTATAAGGAGCACTGCGGGAAGAAAATCGGTTCCTTCTGGGTTTGAAAAACATTTGTCTGAAAAGTCTAAAACGCTAGATGACGTCTATAAAGAAGATGTTCGTGAGTTTGAAACAGATAAGGGGAAGATAGAAAAAAGACCAGTCGTTTGGGCAGATGCTGAGGAATTATTAGAAGCAGTTTTAGAAAATCGGAATCAAATCGGAAACTTTAAAATAAAGGTAATGGCGGATGGTGGACAGGGTTTTTTTAAATTTTCAATGACAATTCTTCCAGAAGATTACTGTGCTGATGACTGCGATAATAAAGAAAATAATTCATATTCTAATGGTGGAAGTTTAGGAAAGAAAAGTAAACTAACCAGTGTTAATAGGCTTATATTATTATGTGTAGTACCTTCCATAAAAGAATCGTATGAAAATGTCAAGACTTTGATAGATTTAACAAAATTGAATAATAGACCTTTTAAATTTGTCGCGGATTTTAAACTTTTGCTAATAGTCAATGGTCAGCAAAATGCAACTTCAACATACCCGTGTTCGTATTGCTTTGTAACATTAAATGAGCTGAGAAATTCAAAAAACATAATTGATGTACGAGTCGATGAAAATCAGGAAAATAATTTGTCATTGAAAACTTATGGTGATTTAAGAAAAGATTATTCTGTATTCACTTCGATGGGGAAGAAAAAGAAACTTGCTAAAGAATGCCATAGTACCATTAACCTTCCTCTTTTTTCTGAAGAAGATGATGATACTCAAATAATTGAGAAATGCATTATTCCCGAGTTGCATATATTGCAAGGATTTGTGAATCATTTGTTCTGGGATGGCTTGGTTCCCTTATTAGGAAGAGAGAAAGCTTTGTTGTGGCCAAAAAAGTTGAAATTAATACCGAAAAGTTATCACGGGGAGATTTTTGAAGGCAATGCGTGCAGAAAGCTTTTAAAGGAAGCGTCGAAGCTCAACGATAACGAGATACATAAGGAAGTTGGATATTTTGCTGTTGTGCCGTTTATAACTGCATTTACAACAATGGATAAAATTGTCAGTAATAATTTTTCTGTACAGCATCAGGAAAATGATTTAGATAAAAATATAAATGAACTTGTAAACACTATAAAAAGTATGGACGTTTCTGAAACTTTGAAAATCCATGTGCTTACAAAACACTTGAAGCAATGTCTTGATGGCTTAGGCAATGATGGACTAGGACTATGGTCTGAACAAGCTGGCGAGTCCGTACATAGAGTATTTCTCATCTTTTGGAACCGCTATAAAATTAATTTACTTGAGGATCCTACTTATGGAACAAAGTTAAAAAAAGCTGTCGTTGAGTTTTCTTCAAAACACACATGAAATAAATGTTAAGTTAAGATTCAACTGAATTTATTTGTTGCTTTGTATATATGTTTTGCTACATTTATAAATTAAAACAATTTGCATATTATTAAATTATTATATTTTGTCACTTAACTCCTTACAACCATATTATCATAATAATGAACAAATAGGATCAGCTAGGATTTTGAATTTAACGAATTTTGCATCTCAAAACATCACTAAATACAACTATGGTTTTTATTTTTGTCGTCATTTTAAATCAACCTGTCGTCTCTTCTCGATAACTGTGAGAATCCAATTAATTTTCAAATATTTTATCCGCCATATTGTATCCGCCATTTTGATTTCTAAAAAAATAACATCAGATTTGTAATCAGCGACCCCAAAATCCCCTAGACAACAAATTTGAGAAGAATCCAATCAATTTTTACAAATTTGACCGCCATATTGGATCCGCCATTTTGAATTTTTGAATTCTGACCTTAGAATCGTAATCAGCGACCTCGAAAACCCTAGAGGAACCATTTTCAAGCCAATTCACTCATTGCATTTGCGACAAAAAATGAAACAATTATTTTTTAAACAATAATGTTTATAAAGATCGTAACCACATAGTTTAGAGACTTACTATAGTCCTCCTCTTCACATAGAAATATTCATTTTAATTTTTTTAAAACTTTTTTTTTTTTTAATTACAATTTAGAATTTGTTCTTTTTGAGAGATCTACCCCTAAATATTTCATAAATTTTATTATTACAATTATTTATTTATAATAAACGGGACAGGTAGTTAAATACTTAACTACTTTGATAATATTATATAGACTATTTATTTTTATTATTTAATTAATAAACGGTAACAGATTCTTATATTGTATGTAAATATTGCAAATACTAAAAAATTGTCTTCTTTTGGTCGATGTAAATAGCATTTTGAAACTTATTCAGCATTTTAAGAAAGAATTTGCAAATGTATCGAAAATTGATAGAAATTTATAAAGGGAAAATGTAGTTTTTAAAATCTGGTAGAAATACTTTTTCTCAAAAGCATTATTCTAATTTTAATTCTCTCTCTCTTTTTTTATATACACAGAAAAAATTAACTTATTGATAAAAAATTCCACAATCTTTTTCTGTGAAATCGTTTGTAAAAATGTATTCTTTTTCCCTTCTCAAAAGAATGAATAATTGAAACGTAGTTAAAGAAAAAAAATTTTTATTAAAAAAGTTTAAGAGATGTGATTTTATTTCATGGGATAACGATTTATATATGTCGTGGCCACTTAGACGAATCCGACATTAAGCTAAGTGTCCAGACAGTTAGACGAATACACGTCGATATCGTCTATTTTTCTAAGCAGTAAGCTAAATGTCCGACACTTTGCTTACTGTCCACCGCCATTTGGACATTTAGAGTAAAATAGCTAAATGAATAAATTCATTTCATCTATACCAAAATAATTTATTTAATGCGGCCAATAAAAAAACAAATTTTACATTTATTATTAGTCAGCTTAATATCCACCGCCATTTCGTCATTTAAAGTCAAATATTTTTCAATGAAAAAAAAAATATTTATTGTGATAACAAAAAAAATAACAAATTATTTATTTTTGCACGGATTGGCATGGTGGCATCGAAATAATTATTTTATAATTATTATATTTAATGTAAATTAATTTGTAATACTTCTATAATATTATTTAATTATAAGTTTTAATTGCCGAAAAGTTAAACGTGATTGTAAGCAATAGTTTAATTATTAATTCAAACAATGAATAACAATGGGTGTATTGTTTTTGTTTTCATCAATCGCTTATAGTATAAGACTCCTATTCATATTTCGTAAACTGATTTAATGAGAATGTTGAAATAATAATTTATGTTTATATTCACCACGGGTCTTTTGTTTAAAACATTATACTTTCGCGCCTTATTAAGTAGCGACACCTATTTGGCATTAAAACATTCATTTCAAGTATGCAGCGATGCCATCTACACCTTTTTACGGAAGCTTCTATGCGCCACCTGGTATAACAGAGGGGCCAGCTAAACCTCAAGTCTGTTTTCAACGTTTTGAAACAGTGGAACACACCCCATGGTTCCTCTGTTAGACTGTTCCCAAGTAGAAATGTAATACTGGCATAGTACGGACCCAGTACTGACTGCCAGTATAGCAGTACTGACTCCAGTACTAAATCAGTACTGGGAAATCCCTGGCTGGTAACGCTGTCCAGTACTGATTTTTTACCGGCAATCAGTACTAAGACAGTATTAAAATATCACTGGCAGAACACCGCCTAATTACTGATTCGCAGGTAAAATTTAAAAAATTTGGAAAATGCTGTAACGCGTTCTCTAAAACAAAATTTACCTCTAGAAGCTTATATTAATTTGTTATTTGATTATTAAAGAAAAGGGAGTAATTTATTGAATACTAATAATTATTATTAATATTTCTGTAGTAAATAAACTTTTATGAGTAACAATAAAAATGTAAATAATTAGCAAAATTGCTTTTATTGAAATAAGTTTTTAAAAAAATTTTCCTTTTTTTTATTAATTTATACAATCTTATTTATTTTAATTAATTACTAATTTATTATTATTATTGTTTATAATTATTTAAATTTATATTTTATGTAACACTGTTGAGAATTATACACTAAACACTTAGAACTAAGACGGAAAAATATCGCACGCACGGGGGATCGAACCCTAGACCTCGAGGACGCAAGTCGAATACACTAACCGCACAGCCACGCAAGCTTAGAAGTGATTTTACTTAAACTTCCTTTTGAATTATGGGAAGGATATATACAGTGCTATAATAATAATGAATTCACTGTATATTATATTTATTTAAAGAAAAATTATTATAAATATATGTTTTATATATTTATATACATTTTAACAAGACGTTATATATTAATTAATAGGTATAGGATAAAAATATGATAAAAATTATTAATTTAATTATTTATTAAAATAATAAAAAAAATATATATTTATACATTTTTAAAAAATAAAAAAAAATGTTATTATTAATGATACATAATAGTAAAAATAATTAATAAATAATCATTTATTATTATTATGATATACCTATTAATTAATAATTAATAATATATTAATTAAGTATTTGATGTTATTGTTGATGAATAATGTTTTTAAAAATCTTGGAGAATATTTTAATAGTTAATAAATGAAACGATGTTGTTATTAATAGTGGCCGGTTTAATGCCGTTATAACAAATTTTGTTTGTTCTTTAACTCCTTCGCAGTACTGATTTGGTGTTATGCCAGTTTTCTGCCAGTACTGATTTTAATACTTTTTTAACTCCGACGTATTACTGATTCGGTTTTGGAGTCAGTATACTCCCAGTACTGATCGGGTTCTGAAAGTCAGTACTGAGTCAGTACCATGTCGGTGTTTAACTCCGTCCTAACTCCGGACATTTCTACTTGGGTTACTGTGTTCGCTTGTTACTATGTTCACTTGATACTATGTTAGTTTCAAACGTTTCAAAACATTTTCAGGATTTTTAGCGAAACTGATTTCTTGCATTTCTGCGGTAAGTTTCTTAAATTAATTGTAAATTATAATTTATCTTTTGTAATTAAATACAATTAAAATTGTTTTTTTGTTAATGAACAAAATTTTTAAGATTTTCTCTAAAGTAAATTTAATTTTGTTATAATACGTTTATGTACATGTACATTTGAAGGTTATGAAAATGCATGTGCATGTGTTAAAGAAATGCATATTTTAAATTATATATAATATAATAAAAATAAAAAATTTTTTTAGATGGAGTCAGGCGAGAGAAAAATAAAATTAATTTCGGAAAATAACAGCTGCTTTATTGTCAAAGTTTTCCGCTTTGCGCCTCCTAAATCATTTTGTGTGCCACAATCTGTAAAAATTATTCTCAACTTATTTCAATATTTAATTACGCACAGTTAATAAAATGATCAGCCAACATGATACATATATAAAACTAATACTTCCTTTAAAAAATCACGTTTGTTAATAATAAATAATAATAACCTTTGTTCAATTTTACATAATATTCATCTACTCCAGGATTTAAATGAATGAAAGTTTCATCAGTTTCTAATAGACACACATCTTCATTTTCTTTATAAGTAATAGTACTACCATTCGGGTAGTATTCATTAAGGACGGCTTTTTTCAATCTATTTTCTTTAACGACAATAAAGCAGCTGTTATTTTCCGAAATTAATTTTATTTTTCTCTCGCCTGACTCCATCTAAAAAAATTTTTTATTTTTATTATATTATATATAATTTAAAATATGCATTTCTTTAACACATGCACATGCATTTTCATAACCTTCAAATGTACATGTACATAAACGTATTATAACAAAATTAAATTTACTTTAGAGAAAATCTTAAAAATTTTGTTCATTAACAAAAAAACAATTTTAATTGTATTTAATTACAAAAGATAAATTATAATTTACAATTAATTTAAGAAACTTACCGCAGAAATGCAAGAAATCAGTTTCGCTAAAAATCCTGAAAATGTTTTGAAACGTTTGAAACTAACATAGTATCAAGTGAACATAGTAACAAGCGAACACAGTAACAGTCTAACAGAGGAACCATGGGGTGTGTTCCACTGTTTCAAAACGTTGAAAACAGACTTGAGGTTTAGCTGGCCCCTCTGTTATACCAGGTGGCGCATAGAAGCTTCCGTACTTTTGTGACAGACGTCAAATTTTATGACATATAACATATAGTTCTAAAATATCAACTTATTTCAATAAATTGAAATCTAATATATTATTAGAATAAACTATTAACCTTTAAAGTGCTAAGTGTTGAAAAATCACGCTCAGTGCTAACCCCGGTCTGTCAGACCGCTATTCCCTTTTGACAGTTTTTTAGTCATTTATAATTTTTAAATTTATTTTATATTATAAATATTTTTTACTTTTTAACAAAAAAAGTCATTTCTGTATTATGCATTTATTTATTTTATAAATGCAGTCTATGAGAACTGTCAGTAGAACTAGCTGCGCGTCAAGTTGCGCAGACGTTACTCATGGGAATATACTGGAATATACTTTCACTTAAAGCTAACCCCGGTCTCACAGACCGCTATACTTCAAATATTTATTTATATTATAAAATTTAACGAATAAAAATTTTTGAAAAAGTTGTCTCCTAACAGATTTTTATAAAATATGAAGCTACTAAAAAGTTCAAGTTCTTATTATACTTTGAAAAAAAGTTACAAGCAAAGAAAATTTTAATAGCGGTCTGTCAGACCGGCATAGCACTTTAAAGGTTAAAGATTTTAGTTGCATATTTATATAATTCGTATTTTTTGTAATAACTCGATGTAATACAAAATTAATTTATCACAATTTAGACTGAGAATTATTTAAAGAATGTATATTTTTCTTTTAGTATGAACTTATAAACAAATCCACTGACAATCATAAAAAATTGGACATTTTTTGAACATAATATGAATTTTTTATTATTTCATTTCTTTATTTGAATCAAATTATCTCAACATCACACAATATAAACATTCTTTTTCTATTTCTTAATAAAAAAACATGTTTTAGTACAGCTTTCAATATAGGTTAGGTTTTCAAGTGTAAAAAGAAAGTTTAACCTAAAAATACTAAATATGTTCCACGTGATAACGCGAAAAACATTCGTAAAATATGGAAAGTGGAAACTTTGAATGAAACTGCATTTAAAATACAAAATTAATACTTAATTAATTAAAATGGTTTAAATATTCTTTGACACAGATGAACTTAAAACGCAATATAATTCACATCAGAAAAGTTGTGAAATTAACAAATCTCTAAATCAGAGATGTGAATTTATGGCGTTTTCTGGTATAAAGTTTGACAGAATCAAACACAACTTATCACAGTAATGGTGACTATAATGTCTATTTTAGACATACTTACACTTCATTGGATTTCAGATTAATATTATTTCAAATTTAGATATTAATTTTTTTCTGTGTACGAAGATGAATTACGACATTGGAAGGTATTTAAAAAAACTGATTTAAGAAATGATGCATTTTCTTATGCCAATAAATTAAATGATGGGTTTTTTTGATATAACGAAAAATTGGATATAATTTCAATAGAAATCATTTTCCAGAAACAAACAATTTTAAAAACAGTATTATGATAAACATTTATAAATAAAATTTTGACCCAGCATACAAACGTATGTATTTATAATGTAAAATAAATTAAGAACTTTTTTAAACAAAATATGGAGAAAATATCACTTTCTCACAAGTTCAGAAAATTTCTCGAGTTTAGTATATAAGGAAGTTGAGAACTGTATCTCCCAATGTACAGCGTGCGTGCGTTATTGCGTTTATTTGTATTTAAGTTAAGTTTATATGTATGCGTTTATAGGTTTTAACATAGATCTCCGAAATTGTATATAGTTTGTGTTTGTATAGTATGATGCTTGCGTTAGCTCATTTGTGTGTGTGCGAAATACTTTCGAAACGATAATTCTATTCTTACGTCTTTTTATTTTCTGTCCTTTTCGACTCACTCATAATTTTTAGTATTGACTATATTAAAGATTGAAATATGTATTTTATTCTAAAATTTAAAAGAATTATTTCAATTTTTCTTATTCTTTCGATACTTTCACGGACTGCGATTTTAATATAGTCATTTTTAAAAATTATAATTCTTTTATTAAATTGTATTACAATTTTATTAATTTTTGTAAAATATATTAAGGGCTGCCTACTAATATGCACAATATTAATTTTTAATATAAAACACCATTTCCCTACACGGAAAAAGAATATATTAAATTCTATTGCCAATTTTAACAAATATTAATACAAAATCTCTCTCCGTGCAGTCTTTGCGTACTTAGCGTATATTGCACTCTCTCTGTAAATTATCTCCATTCACTTTATACAAATAAATGTATTAAATAAAGTTCCAGACTGCTTATTTATTAAAGGTTCAACAGAGAAATTAATAATTTAAATTCGCAATCGCTAAATAGTAGTCGAAGCAAAAACATTCTACCGAACGTTAGATTTTTAAATTCTAATTTGAATCGATTCTAAATTTCTAATTTTTACAATGGAAAGTAGTTCAGTGAATTCTATTCTGTTCTTGCTTTAAAGCAAATATTATATGTGGTTCTCGATGCCACCATCCCAATCCGTGCAAAAATAAATAATTTGTTAATTTTTTTTGTTATCACAATAAATAATTTTTTTTTCATTGAAAAATATTTGACTTTTAATGACGAAATGGCGGTGGATATTAAGCTGACTAATAATAAATGTAAAATTTGTTTTTTTATTGGCCGCATTAAATACATTATTTTGGTATAGATGAAATGAATTTATTCATTTAGCTATTTTACTCTAAATATCCAAATGGCGGTGGAAAATTTATAAGCAAAGTGTTGGACATTTAGCTTACTGCTTAGAAAAATAGACGATATCGACGTGTATTCGTCTAACTGTCTGGACACTTAGTTTAATGTCGGATTCGTCTAAGTGGCCACGATATGTATACATATATATTAGGGTGGTCCTTAAAAAGGTTTTTTTCGAATTTCTTTGCTCCCAGGGGCTTAAATGCTTCCAAATTAATAAAAAAAAATTCCCTAAAAATTTGAGCTCTTAATATTAACTTTTAGATAGTCCGCACTCAAACTTAAGTTTAAAAAATTTTTTTTATTTTTTTATTTTTTATTAATTTATTTTGATAAAATTTGGAAGGTGAATCAATACTCAGGAGTATTACGGTCACAAACACCTAAAATCAGACAAAAGGATCTTCAAAAATATCGAAACAAATATTTTTTAGCAATTTTTGAATTTTTAAAAAAAATCGATGATTTTTGTATTTTTATAAATAACTTTTTTTATCTATTAATATTTTCATTAATTCTTGTCAAAATTACATTCCTGACATGAAAATAAAAAGGATTAATGTATGGGTCATTCCAGGCCAAATCGGAAATTATTTTGCTTTTGCATCTTAAATTTTTTTTTAACATTTTTTTTCTTTTAGTACTTTTTGAAACGAGCTACCTTGATTGATTTCAAATTTTTTCATAAAGCGGTTCAGGAGATCCAGATTTTTGGCCTACCGTTTTCATTGTGTATATAAACATTAAAAATTTCAAATTAAATAGATCCCATCGTTTTCGCACGATCAGACAAGGCTTAAAAATTGTTAATTTACAGCTAGTTTCTTACAAAATATTTTAAAAAAAATTGATTGATACATACATTGTTACAAATGAAATTTTATTTTAAAAATTATAAAATCTTATCGTAAATTAGGTATTTAAAAAATTTTTTTAAATATTTTTATTGAAAACTACGCGTGAAAACAAAACTTTTCATTATAAAAACGTCCAAATTGATCAATTTTTGACCGAGTTATAAGCATTTAAAAAAAATTTACGTTAAGGTATTAGTCGCGTAAAATGGTTTTCGTCAGAATTTTTTCAAATTTTGCATACTTATTCCTGGAGTATTTATCTACAGAATGAGACCAATTTCATTAATTTTGACCGTTTCAAAGCTTAAAAAAATGAATTCAAAGTTCATACATTTTGCATGGAGGAAGCACCCTATGCATGTATTGATTTTGTTTAATAATTATTTATATGATAACTAATCGTCAGATTTTAAAACAAAAGTACCAAAGTATTCAATTAGATGAAACAAATAAATAAAAAAAACATGACATTTTTTGACCGCGCCAAACTATAAATAGTTATTAATAGTTATTAATTGTTATTTTTTTAACTTTCTGTCAATAGACAGAAAGTTAAAAAAATAACTAAATTATTTGAATTTTCATACGAACGAATAGAGTGGGGAGTTAAACTATCACACTCACTCTCACTGCCCCACTCTAGTAAGCGGCCCGGTAAACTTTTGACCAGAGCCAACTCCGTGACTAATACCTTAAAAACGTCATTTTTCAAAAATCTGTATCTTCTGAACCGCTTTATGAAAAAAATTTGAAAAAAATCAAGGTAGCTCATTTCAAAGAGTACTAAAAGAAAAAAAATCTTAAAAAACAAATTTAAGATGCAAAAGCAAAATAATTTCCGATTTGGCCTGGAATGCCCCATACATTAATCGATTTGTTTTCATGTCAGGAATGTAATTTTGACAAGAATTAATGAAAATATTAATAGATAAAAAAGTTATTTATAAAAATACAAAAATCATCGATTTTTTTCAAAAATTCAAAAATTGCTAAAAAATATTTGTTTCGATATTTTTGAAGATCCTTTTGTCTGATTTTAGGTGTTAGTGACCGTAATACTCCTGAGTATTGATTCACCTTCCAAATTTTATCAAAATAAATTAATAAAAAATAAAAAAAATTTTTTAAACTTAAGTTTGAGTGCGGACTATCTAAAAGTTAATATTAAGAGCTCAAATTTTTAGGGAATTTTTTTTTATTAATTTGGAAGCATTTAAGCCCCTGGGAGCAAAGAAATTCGAAAAAAACCTTTTTAAGGACCACCCTAAATATATAGAAAGAGAGGGAGAGAGAGCGACTTTTAAGGAGATTTCGAACGACGATCGGAAGTATTTCTACACACTAAAAAAAAAGTTTTACTTTCAGCCTCTTTTTGAGGCTGAATTTATGATGTAAACGGAGTCAGCCCCGTTAAACAAGGACAGACTTATGTGAAATACATGGGCTGAATTTAAGGTGTAAACGGAGTCAGACTTTTTTTTCCTGTGTAGAACATGAGATCAGTACAAATGACCTGTACATTCTACAGAGTTGTTATTGAAAAGTGAAAAAGGGAATGACACTTTTTCTTCTATTGGAAAAGAACTTTTCAGCCAAATTGAAATTCCAAACAAATTTAGGTCGAACATGCTTCTTTTTTATGTTAGGTACAAATTATTTCTGATATATATATATATATATATATATATATATATATATATATATACATATATACATATATATACATATATATATATATATATATATATATATATATATATATATATATATATATATATATATATATATATATATACATATATACATATATATACATATATATATATATATATATATATATATATATATGTGGACGTCCACATGAAAAGGGCCCATATTGTCGGTTCTAGTTTTCGAGAGAATCGCAATTTAGTAATTTTTGAGCAAATTCTTAATTTTTTTTTTATTTTTTATTATCAATCTACATGTTTTGACAAGTCGAATCATGCGGTTTTTATTAATTTATCGATAATTTAACTGTTTGATTTCATTGGTTCTTTAGAAAAATGAAAAGGGCCCATATTGTCGGTCATTTGCAAAAGTAATCCGTATTTTAAAAATGGAGGTGTGGAAAAATTTTAAACCTCTTGATTTTTCATCTTTATGGTGTCCTGGACTGTAAACAATTCTTATCTGAATAACTTCCGAGAAGAACCAGAGATATTGATGTTAGAGTCTTTTTTTCGTAATTATCGAAATGAAAATTTGTATATTTCGTCAATTTTTTCATAATAGAGACTGTCAAAAATTTTTAAATAACTTTAATATCTATTCTTTTTCTTCAAATGACACAATAAAATTGTACCTAATCATTAATCCTGTAAAAAAAATGGTTTTTTAATAGAAAGACTGTCCTTTTTAGAAAAGGGCCCATATTGTCGGTTTCTCGTACTTAAGTACGAAATTTTTCAAAATTAAGAGGGGGGGACGGTTTTAAAAATTTAAAACTTATTGGTTTTTCATCTTTTAGGTACCCTGTACTGTAAACAATTCTTATCTGAATAACTTTTCAGAAGAACCAGAGATATTGATATTAGAATCTTTTTTTCGTAATTGTCGAAATGAAAATTTCAATATTGCGTCAATTTTTTCATAATAAAGACTGTCAAAAATTTTTAAATAAGTTTAATATCTATTCTTGTTCTTCAAATGACACAATAAAATTTTACTTAATCATTAATTTTGTAAAAAAATGTTTTTTCAATAGAAAAACTGTCCTTTTTAGAAAAGGGCCCATATTGTCGGTTTTTAAATTAATTAATTAATTAAGGGGAGGGGGTGGGTCTAAAAATGTAAAACCTGTTGGTTTTTTATCTTCAAGGTGCCCTGAACTGGAAACAATTCTTATCTGAATAACTTCCAAGAAGAACCAGAGATACAACAATTAGTTGGTATCGCAATCTTTAATTCCGTTTTTCTCGAAATGAGGTTTTTGGCGTTCTAAACTTTGAAATTCCGTAACTCAGCGAATTTTCAACCAAAAAAGTTCTAAGACCACTCAAAATTTTCCAAATTTTGTCAGGAATACGCCCATATAGATAACTCCAATAGTGCCAAAATGGGCCCTTTTCATGTGGACGTCCACATATACATATATTCATAAAAATTTCTAGTTGTCTTGCATATATTATGTTTTGAAATTGTATATTATATTTTACTAATTAATTGTTGTCTCTAAATTTTAATTAGTAAAAATGTTTACTAATTTCAATTAGTGACTCACCGTTAGCTTTTGAATTAGTAAATTTTGACTTTTTGCCTGGCACTAAAAATAATATTCTGATTCACTCTCAAAATGATTAGATAATCAAAAAAAATGTTTTATTATAGTATTTTACGAATTTCTCTAATTGCAAAATTATTCGAAACCATCAATAACTTAATTTTTAAATAAATATTTAATCATTATTATGTTTCCATAAGAATTAAGATTTTCAAAAGATTTCAATTTAAATCTTTTGAAATTCAACAACTTATAATAATTAAAGATGTCCGAGTGATAAAATCATTATTTTATATTATTATAAGAATATTATACTTCTTTAAATGAATTATTTAAAAAAATTTTCGAAAAAGTTCCTTAAGTGGTGTACCACTTTGAAATTTTCAAAAAATCGAAAAAAATTTTTTTTGCTTAAAGTATTCTTTATGGACACCAAAATGATATGTCATTAGTTATACATATCGATATCCCAAGTGAAAAGACAATTTTCGAACTGTTTAAGTAGGATCGCGCGCTACGTTTACGTTGTAATGAAAACTTTAAACGCGTTTTTCTCAAAACTGTATTTTAAAAATCGGTGGACACTCTAGCTGTCACAATTTTCAATCGATTCTCTTAATTTTTTAAAATTTTGTTTGTGATATAATTACTTCTTTCATCAAATCGATGTCATTTTGCGAAAAATGCATTTTTTTAAAACGAATACGTATTTCGCTAGATTTTGAGCTGCAGAAACTAATGCTTTTTTATTTTTTGGTCTAGTTCAAATCTGTACCGAGTTATAGTGTCCATCCGCACGGCGATACATTTTTTAAGCACTCCGCCATATAATTTTTATTTTTATATATAAATTGAAATTTTTCGAGAATTTTTTAACATAATTGAATTTCTGCGAAGAATTTTATTACTTTTGAAAATAAATGAATTTCTGCAAAAATTTGTAACTTCTCAAAAATTCAATTTTTTTAGTTTTAACTAAAATTCTTCTATAAGTTCATTATTTTGAATAATTAATCAAATATATATTAAAAAATGTAAATTATTTTAGAAGAATATGAATTATTAAAATTTTTCAAAAATCTAAGTTCTTCAAAACTGTTAATGAAATTTATTCAAAATTGAAATTTCATAAAATTCCAAATCTAAACCTTTTGAAGCTCATTTATTTATGAAAATTATAAACGCAACTCTTTTAAAATTTAATTAATTTTGAAATATTTAAGTAAAATTATTCATTAAATAATTTGTGAGTATAATAGTTTTACGATAGTTGTTGAAGAATTAAGTCACTTAAAAAAAATTATTGTCAGAATTGGGGAATTGTGGGCCACCTCCATTATTTAATAATATTTAAAAGTTTGATCATTCAATTTTTTTTATTTTCTTTTGTTCGTCCAAAGTAAATTTTTCATTAGCATTTCATGACTTTACAATGCTTTACTTATATACCTATAAATCATAAACAACAACCACCTAAAAAATTGCATTCAAATATTTATTTTGGGCGTTCATGTTTTTATTGTTTTTACAAGGATTTTCAAGAATTACTTAAAGAAATTATTTTTTTAATTATTGTGTGGCATTGGTACTTTGACTCCAAAAAGAAATTTTTTATCAAATTAAAATGAATAAATAATAGGCAGTGGCCCACAATTTCCCAACATTTTTAAAATTCATAAAAGTGCACTTTTTGGTAAAACTCAAATTTATTTTTAGGTATGTGATAATTTTAAGAAACTGACTTCGATATATGTTAGATCTCCTACTGACACGAAAAATTTGGAAATTTAAAAAAAAAAATTTTTCGTGCAAGATATTGAGTTAAAAAAATAAAATGTGGCCCACAATTCCCCAATCTTCCCTATACCCTACAAACATTATTCAAAAATAATTTTTGAAAGATTTATTTACAGTTATTTTTTACATGTATGAAAATGGAAGTTGTAATTTATACCAAATATGTGGTATTTTACTGCAATATTTGGAAGAAAAGTCGAATTTTTTATTTAAAATATACTCGAATAAAGTCCAAAATTATATTATCCGAGACCTGTAATATAATAACCGTATTCTATGATATACTATATTATAATAATAATAATATTACCATACATGTTACAATTATCAATATATATTAATTGAAAACGCATAAAACTATATTTTAAAAATACACAAAAATACAGTTGAACCTCAATAAAACAGGAATTTTTAAGAAATTGTCTTCAATTCAAGTTCTTTGATCTTTTGATTTTTGATTCTAAATCTATTCAAAACCAAAAAAGAATAAATATATCAAAAATATTTCCTATCCACTTTGATTTGAATGTATTAAAGGTTCAACTGTATTTTAACGAATTAAAAATAACACCCAGAACTATAACAATCAATTCACAATATATTATTTGTAAAATTTCGGATAAAATTAAAAAAAAACAAAAAAGATTCAGATAAAAATTTGCGAAAATATGCGTTTTTCTTTTTTGTCAAAAAAGAAAATTCTCATATAAATCTATATAAATTTTTAAAAATGGCAAAGAAAAAAGAAAAATAAAATGAAAACTTACTGCAAACGAGGGGATTTTCGTCGGATCCATCAGGACAGTCTTTCTCTCCATCACAGTGCCAATTTCCAGGAATACATCTGCCATTGCTGCACTTAAACTCAGACTCCTTACATTCTTCCTGATCTGCAATTTTACGAGAATGAATTACTGTAGTCGTCGTCGCCGTCGTCGTATTTTTTCTCTCGTCCGACAAGCAAAAGGTTGCACACCACAATGCGAACAAGAGACAAAGTTCTTTATTACAGTTCAACATTTTCATCGACTTTCCCTTAAATTCCAATAATTTTCTAATTAACAAGTTGAAACTAGAATTGAATTTTTTAGTTGAAACTTCAATCCAATTTTTCGTTGAAACGAGTTCAATTTTTGTTTAATAATTTACTTTTTGTTCGAATTATAGACAAATTACAGAAAACAATTCACGATTTACTTTCTTTCCTGCACTTTTTATAAAATGTTCAATATCTTATTATTATTATTATTATTATTATTATTATTATTATTATTATTATTATTATTATTATTATTATTGTTATTATTATTATTATTATTACAACAAGTGATTAAACGAATTAATTAAGTCACAAGTGTAAACTTTTGAATCTTTTTTCCGGACCTCCAAATATTTATCAGAAAATTAAAAAAATTTAAATTCCGAATTGAAATTTAGAGTTTAATTCGTTTTTTTCTAAATCGCAAAAATAAATTTTCCCCAGTGTCCATTTGCCCGATGAATTATTTGGATCAGATTTAAAAAGTTTGAGACATTATTTCGAGTTTCTCGAAGCTTGCGAAGTCTAGTTTAATTTAACTTTGTTTTACACACTGAGAGACACACAGAAAGTTGGAAAAGTCGATTATTTGATTGGTGATTTATCTTCTTTTAAGTGAAATCCGATTTCAATCGAATACCTTTCTGGTCAGACAGACAACTCCGAACACCTCTGTCTGTTCCAGAACAACATCTTTCACTGTTGGTCCATTTCACAAAAATTCACCCCTTTTTATCCCACCCGCACAATTTACAGAAATCGAATTTTGAATTGAAAAATAAAATTGTATTTGCGATTGAAGAGAGACAGAGAGGAAAAAAATAAAAGAGAAAAGAGATTGCGAATGGTCCATTCGTCTTGAAAGTCGCGGATGCTGTAAGGCCCCGGAGACTAAAGACTCTATTTATGTATCGACTACTCGGACTCAATATCTCGTTCAGAGGTAATTTTCTACTTATTTTTACTCGTTTAAATGAACGAGAAATATCAACAGAATTTTTTTTATTTCTTCTCCTTTTTTTCTATATAGAAACTCTTTTCTATATAGAGGAAAAAATTATCAATATAGTATAGGCAAAAATAAAAGGTATCATAAAAAATTTGTGCGAAATAATTTTCTAATAAGATATGATCCTTTGAAGATCAAAGCACGTCGCGTTTCTTTTCATTTTTATATCTAGCGAAATGCACCGAAAGGATTGCGCGAGAAAAATTCACACAATTTTTTTGCATGATGGAATTTACTCCCGAACGAAAATGAAAGAGGAAAAAAAAGTAGAAAATGAGTGGTTGTAAAGAAAACGTCGACTTTGGAGTTATTTTTTGTTGTTGAAATTTTTAAGTGTTTCGTTTTTGATGAATGGATAGTAAACAGGAGGAAGATGAGAAATGAAAATAAAAGTATTCATATTTCTCTTCTATTTCTTGCCAAACATAATGTTTTAATTGTCTCAAGGAATAAAATTTCGAACGTTCAAATCAACGACATTTTTCTTACTTCTTTTAATTTGTGTTTTACTATCACAGTAAAACGTGAGGTGTTAAAATAACACCAGAATGGATTAAAATAATCTGCAACAGTTTAATCCCTCTATAGGGTTAAATTAACACCAGAAAAGATTAAAATAATCTATTTTGGTGTTATTTTTAACTATGATGAATGAAATTTTACATTAAATAAAACACCAAAGTCAATGATTTGTAAAAATTCAATGAATTTAGCTTCTCCAGGGAGAATAGTAGGGGAGCGTGGGGTAATGGGAGCTTCCGGGTAATGGGAGCTTTTAAATTTCACGTACTTAAAAGCCTTCAAATTCGCTGCAATGTTTAGAAAATCTTCTACAACCTTTGTTTATATCATTCCAAAACAAACGATTACATTCTTGACAAATTTTTAGTAAAAACAAGGGAAAATGTATTTTTTGAGTTTTCGTTGTAAAATGCAAAATATTTCTAAACATCACCAAAGCCCAGGCGGAAAAGTCAGACGAATGTCGGAATTTACAACCGGCTGGGATCCGCGCCCGTACAGACCGCAAGTACCGACGGTCTGTACCGATTCGGATCTGAAAAAGCAACCGGCGCGGTACAGATTATGCTCCGACTGTCGGAACCGTCTTCCACTGTTGTCAGTACTGGCTCGGTACTGGATTTCTTCCGCCGGCGGATCTTATTCTTCTGCGGCGTCGGAAGAATGACGGATATGTTGAGTCTGTACTGGCTCGGTACTGGGCCGGATCCGACTGCGGATGTCGTCATTTATTGTCACATTATAAATCACATTATAAATTTATTTTCAATAAATGTGTCATAACTAAATAATTATTACAATAATTAATTGCATTATTTTAGAAAATAATGATTAATTAATAAATGAATTTAATCAAAATATTAAGTAATTATTTATTAAGAGTTTTTTCAAAATTAAGCAATTAAAAAAATTTGTTGTGCACTTATAGTTTATAATTATTATAAATAAATTTATACTATTAATATAAATTTATTATTATTGAGATATTATTAATTAATATTATTGAGAATTAATAATAAATTATTAATATTCATGTTAATAATTTATTATTAATTCTCAATAATATTAATGTTAATTAATAATATCTCAATAATAATAAATTTATTATTATTGTGATATTAATTAAAATTATTAATATTATTATGTTCAATATTATTATATTGAGATACAATTATTTAATATATTATATAATAATAAAAATATAGCTGTAGCATTGACGCGTAGTTATTCGACAAGTTTTATTTCAGCTTGTGACACTTGAGAGTATTTAAGATTTGAGAGTCCCATGCGAGCGTAGCATAGTGGTTAGCGTGCGAGATTTCGGTGCGTAAATATTCGGTTAGGCGTAGGTTCGTACCTCCAAGCGTTAGGATTTTTCAAATGTGTATGTAATAACAAATTACGTTTAAGTGTATAAAAAAATAAAAAAAATGTGTAAAGTGAACTGTCAATGAATTGTCATCAGTATTTATCTTTTGCAATTAATTATTATTTTTTGTATTGATATTTGTTGAAATTATCATTTGGATCCGATCCGGTTGTCAGTCGGTAGAATGCCAGCGCTCGGCTGGCTATTAAATGAAAAATCCGCGGTCGGTAGAGTGCCAGATCCCAGCCGGTTGAATTATACACGGAACGGCTTCTCCCGGCCGGTCAGCGGGCGGTAGAATGCCAGTTCCGAGCCGGTTGCCAGCGCGCTCCTGGCCTAGTCACTATTCGGTAGAATGCCCGTTCACATTCGGTTGGCAGGCGGTTCCGAGCCAGTACAGTTACACCGGCGTCAGTACGGGCTAGGATCCGCGCCGGTTGGAAATTTCCGCCTGGGAGTAGTTAAAATCGTATTATTTAGTTCTGTTTTTTACATTCTCATCACATGAGAAAGTATTAGTTTTGGTCGAAAATTGACTTTTGCTAATTTCATGAAATCTCGACGTTTTTGGGTCCCCTGAACCCGAAAAACATGGTCTGGCGAGTACGTCTGTCTGTCTGTCTGTCTGTATGTATGTATGTATGTCCGTCTGTAGACCAAAATGTTGTAGACACAATAACTTTTGAAAATCTTATCTGATCGTCTTTAAATTTAACACACTTAAAGTTGGTGTAAAAATGAAGGTTAAGTTCGTTAACCAGCCATTTTCGTTGAAAACTACAAAAACTACACTAGTTTCAAAATTTTGAAAATTCAATTTTTTCTCATTTCAAAGCTATTAACTTTATATTCTTTTAAATTAGGAAAATACAAACAACTTTTCTTTATAACATTTTTTCATAATTTTTTTTTTTTTAAGTTTTTGGGCCAGACCAGCTCAACTGTGTTAAAATTTTTTTATTGATTTTCTAAAATATTAAATCTTTTATAAATGTCTGTAGTTCACAACAAAACAAAATTACTCTTTTAACCATTTTTTGCATTAACAAAATATTACAACAGTTAAAAAAAATTAATAACTCAAAAAAAACAATTTTATAAACAATTTGAATTATTTATATATTGTACCCTTCTAATTGCAATTAAACTTATAGAAAATGTACTTAGTAGTTTTCTTCTTGAAGTTGGGCAAAAAAACATGAAGATATTTTATGATTTTATCAATTTTAGCAACAGTTTAAACAAATAATTGTTATTTAGAAATGAAGTGCTGGCTGCAATAAGGGGACGAACGCGTTGTTGAAAGGGATAATACCAGTCAGGTAGCAGTAAGCGGCTCAAGGTTTGTCACTGCTACCCCACTGGCAGTATCCCAAGTAGAAATGTAATACTGGCATAGTACTGATCTTGTACTGACTGCCAGTATTGCAGTACTGACTCCAGTACTAAGTCAGTACTGGGAAAACCCTGGCTGGTAACGCTGTCCAGTACTGATTTTTACCGGCGGTCAGTATAAGCTCCTTATTTAATTATTAAAGCATGGGGAGTAATTTATTGAATACTAATAATTATTATTAGTATTAATTATTATTAATTAATTATTAGAATTCCTTTTATTAAAACAAGTATTAAAAAAATATTTTTCTTATCTTTTCATTATTTATTTAAATCTTATTTATTTAAATTAATGACTAAATTATTATTATTACTGGTTATTAATTATTTAAACTTATACTTTATGTAACACTGTTAAGAATTATACACAAAACACTTAAAACTAAGACGGAAAAATATCGCACACGCACGGGGGACCGAACCCTAGACCTCGAGGACGCAAGTCGAATACACATACCGCATAGCCACGCAAGCTCGGGAGTTATCTCGCATAAACTTCCTTTTGAATTGTGGGACCGATATATACAGTGCTTTAATAATAAATCCACTGCATATT